TGTACTCCCAAACAATTTTGCATTTTGAACTCTCATTGAACGGATTATTGTCACATGAAAGAAGTAGGTCCACGCTTTGAAATGAGCCCCATTAGGCTTTTTCGGTAATTTTTGTTTGTTTAAATGTGTGCGCATCTTCCAGCTGAAGCACGATGTAGGCCCTGGAGTTGAAAGGTAGATGTCAGTTAATATCGTATTTCGCACTTATTTCTTTTTTTTCAATTTCAGTTCTCAAGAAATCAAGTCAATTAAATAAATTGGTATTAATATTCGAATTCAAAAATAAAATATAAAAAACACTACAAATGTACATTAGAAAAAAAGTAATGTCATGTTTACGTTAGAACTTTTTGCAGGTTTAACCTACTTCAAGAGGATTTATTTGAAGTATAAGTAATGGATATGACAATTTTAATCCAAATACTGTGGGTTAACCCATTTATATGTAAACGTACTATAAGTCAAAATGGAAAAAAATCATGCAAAATAAAACATTACTATTGTACATTTCAAAAGTCAAAATGGAAATGTTAATATATCACATTTTTACGCGATTTTTTTTGGATATTATCCTTTTCGGATAGGAGACAATTCCGAATTTGTATGAATCATTAAAATCAGTTCAGCGGTTCTTAAGTTATAAGCGTAGTAACTAACACAACTTTATTTTATATATATATATATATATATATATATATATATATATATATATATATATATATATATATATATATATATATATATATATATATATATATATATATATATATACATCCTCTGGATCCTCTGAACCAGGTCTTCCCAGAAAGCACAACTCAAAATGCTGCATGGCTATACTGCATATAGTTATTATTAATGTCTGTGTATGTACGAATGCGTGCAGCACATTTATACATATAAACACATCCAATATGTTCATCCAATATTGCTGACGCTCCCAGCAAATACGAACGGTTAGTTCCTACTATTGGTTGAACTCACTGATGCCACATAAATGCATCTTTTAATGATTTATATTAAGTTCTGTTACAAAGTGGACGAGATCAACAAATCATAGCTCCCGGAGATGTCTTCGATGCATTTGTTGTAAACACAACAAATTAGAACAGAATTATCCCACGCATCACAGTTGCCATTCCTTTGGAGTTGGTTTGTCTGTCATCAACAACGTTGTTGTCGATGTTCGCATCGACTATTGGATTTTTCTTGTTTGTTGTATCTGCAATCAATACCTCTGGAATTGACTGAAAGCAGCTTGGAGCATTGTTCATCCGTTTATATATATATTTTTTTTTATTTTTCATTTTTGAGTCAAGTATGCAACACAAAAAAAAAGAAAAAAAAAGAAAAAAAAAAAAAAAAAAACAACGACAACAGTTGCTAAAACAGGAATGTCAATGCAGCAGACCAGAATCTGAGCTGACTCACACAACACTCGAACGCCGCAATTCACGTTAATGCACGCTCGTATTATATTTGGACGTGCTTGGTCGTCTGTCCGACTGCCTTCATACAAATAGTTTGCGTCTTTTCGAATCGACATTCTTTGGTAAGCGAACCTCAATATTTGTAATAAAAACATTGTTAGTTGAAGGCATTGTCCTCCATCGACTACTTATGTGTATTATATGATTAGTATTTTATCACTAAGTTCGTGAAAAATCGTGTATTGAAACGTTTTTAGATACTATCTGTTTACGAAAAAGTTCAGTGGAAGATATTGAATTAGGTTCCAAACGGAGTACTTACTACCTCTATTGCAAATTAGCTCATTAAGATTCCTTATTATTATTTATGTTCGTTAAGGATTCTATAATCCCTTTGTAACGGCACCTTCAAGAATTCAAAATCTTGATTATCTGCATAGATTCACGTTTTCCTATAGCTTCCATTAACGCTACTGATATTTTCAAATTCATTATTTTAAACTCGGAGTGGCAAATTGGACAGATACTTTTTTTCTCATGACGTAGGATATTCATATTTTTGACAATAATACGAAAAGGTCTATTGCTTCATGACAAATTGTAACACACAAGTTATGTATAAGCAATATAGCGTTTGCGTGCGTCATCTAAATGTATGGCGCTTGAATAGTCATTTATGCATCACCCTACATACTATGGAGAAACTATTTGTTTATTAGTTCTCGAAATAAGCATAAATTCTTAATCAGCATGAAATTCTATATTGATTTAGCTGACGGCCTGACCTGCCGTCTGTGGAAATCCCTCTAGCTTCTAAACGGAGTAAAGTAAACTGATACAATTTATATAAAATATACTAAAATATGGTGAAATATGACATTGAAAATGGGCCATCCATATGGGTCAAGGTTGCGCAATAGGCTCCATATAATGGTATCTTTCAATATTTGGAATTTTGATTGATGATTTTGTCCACATTTTACACGGCATTGTTTCAAATTTTGTTTATTGTTAATAAAAACCCAATTTAAATGAATTTTGGAACATACGAACGAATTCAAAAGTTGTTGGTGAAAATTGTTTAAGATATAGTTATATGTCCCATCCGATTTTGCATGTACGTCCCTCACACCCGTAAAATACTCCCCAGAAAAATAGTATTTGATACCAACTATCAGATTCAGCACAGAAATACCTCTGCTTAATTGTATAGAGATCGGTTTAGATTTGAATACCCCTCCTACATGTATCTTCATCGGATTTCACGTTTACTGTTTCTAAAAAGTCTAATATCAGCTCAAATAGGATGGATTTTGATTATTATTGGTTCGGACACAAATGGCAACCTCAGGTTAAGTAGAAATTGATTCAGAGAAGGATATATAAATGTTAACTTCTTTAAAGCCATAATACGCATTCATAATTGCAATGATTTAAGTATCGTAAGTTCCCCATAAAAACGTTTATTCGTTATGGATAGCTCTACCAAATATGCAAAGTGGTGTAGCGTATCATAAAGTCAGCCCGCCCGATTTTTGGCCTTTCTTTACTGGAAATTTGTTGCACAGTTGACTCGGGCAAATATTGCACATGGAGTGGGGGATTGTTTAAGTACAATCAAAATCGTGGCAAACCACACTTGACTGCTGTGAAACGATTAATATGGAATTTTAAACATACAATTGATTTCAAACTAAAATATACTGCAGATGATGATAGAAAAATTGTTGGTTTCGCTTATGTGGATTGGGCAAACGATATTGACATTAAAAATCAACTACAGGATATGTATTTTTGTTCCAAGGACCATCGTAGAACTCCAAAAGGTGACAACAGAGGCGGAATATATAGATATGTTCTCAGCATACCAGGAGCTTATTTGATTGAAGTCGTTATATTTGGAAATTAGAGGATCTCAAGATGAAGCTTTGATTAAACATTCCGACAGCAAAAGGTCTATTAGTCTTGCTCCCAAAAGAAATTGGGAATCATTTGAACTTACACGAAGAGTGAGTTTGTTGAGAACACTTATTACCAATGGAAGAATTTGTGAATATTACATCCTCAATTTATTTACCATCATGGTTGTGTTTATGATACAATACTAGAAGTTAAAAATAATTGTTGGAAATGCGTTTTTAGGTTATGTTTGCCTTCGTTTATATTCGTATTCAATTTTCAGAAGAAAGCAAGTTTAACATTTGAGTTACTGAAATTATTACAAAATTATAGTTGAAAAATGCTGATTGAAGAACAGCTGCATTGTGGCCGGTACAAAAATGTTTACAAACATCAGGCAATAATTTGCATATTTTAATTATTTTCCAGCTTATAAGCATTTAGCATGGCTTTATACCATTAAGTATTTTTTTTCACTACAAACATTTCTCAGGACCCTTTACTGAGTAATTTTTACTAGAAAATTTATCGTTTATACCTATTGTTTGCAATCTTTCCAGAAAGAAGAAGTAAAAAAATTACAGCTGATACACTCTGCAACTTTTGTTTTCTTCATTTTGTTTTGTTGCTGTGAAAAGAATTTAGTAAACAAGTAAGCAAAAGCTATAGACGTGCGGGGCCGACTATGTTATACCCTACAACACTACAGTGTTATGTCCAACTCCATATTGGAAGATTTCGCTTTTGAAATTAGCCCAATATTTATGCACTCCGTCGGGCTGTTAGTTGTTGTAGTCCATTTTACAGTTAAATATAATCCAATGGTCATCCCTAACTCTCTTTTCAGGCGTGTCGATTGGCTTCTATTATGTGATCAGGAGATTTTTTCTGTTTTAGGTTCATTCGAAGCCCTAAATATTTTCGATCATCTCCAAAAGCAAGAGGCCCCTATGTATCTTCAAATTTAGACTCATCCATATGATTTTCTTGTCTACTATATTTGTAAGTAATGCTGGTAATTATTCACACAAAGTTATTGGTCTACCCGCTGTCCTAAACTCTAACTTTATGCGAGATTTCGTGTCCTTTGGTTTATATTTGTGACCTTTATAACGGCTGCAAAATCAGGAACATTTTTGGTTGTTGGTCCATTTCAAACCCTAATATATTGCGGACATCTTTGAAAACAACAGGCCTAGCCCTTCTGAGCCCAACCCTACCCTTGTGAAAATTTTCGTGAGGATCGGACGATATTTGCAATACTTATATAATATCCCAAACCTGTGTTGTAAGGTGAAAAAATATTAAAAAATATTATAAGCCAAATTGAAAAAATAGCATGCGATAAAAAATATGAAAAATTAAAACAAGTAAAAAAACATTAAGTTCGGCCGGGCCAAACTTTTAATACCCTCCACCTTAGGGTAAAAGAAACATTAGAAGAAATGTGGCAAAAACCATTAAAATGCCGATTATGGGGAGGTGCCGTTATATGGGGGCTATACCAAAACGTGGACCTATAATTACAATGTTTCGCCACCGGAGCTGGAAACCATTATGACCCACAAATACCAATTTTTAGACAAATCAGTGAAAAAATGTGACAAAAACCATCAAAATACCGAATATCGGGAGGTACCGTTATATGGGGGCTATATCAAATCATGGACCCATGGTTAGGTTAGGTTAGGTTAAAGGATGTGTGGTTGCGTAAAAACAACAACCACTCCACTCGGAGACCTATTGGCCCATTGTGATCATCCTAGTCTAGAAAGAAGTGGAAGTGAGGTAAGAAAGATAGTTAGTGTAGAATATAGGATTTAGAAGAATTAGAGAAGCTAGTGGGTTTGCGTCCACGGTGTAATCAACGTGTCGTCCTTAGCCATTTTAGTCTTCTGGCTAATTGAAGAATGACTGCTGGTTCTGTTTCGGAGAGGTATGACAAGTCAGGCAGTAAGTGCTTACCCAGAAGCCTATGTCTTACTCCAATGAGGGTAGGACAATGACAGAGTAAGTGTTCCACCGTTTCTGTTTCTTCCTCGTCCTGACATAGCCTGCAGTATTCAGTGTCGTCACCCCCCCATTTTGAAGTCATGGCCTTTATGTTGCAATGACCTGTAATTAGGCCCACCACAAGCTTCAAGTCCAACTTCGTCATGGACAAGAGTGACCGTGATCTCCGTTCGGAGTTCACCGGCCAAATCTTTTTGGAGATGATGCATCCCCTTCCAGATAGCCAGTTCTGTTGAAATCTTCCAAGATAGTGTTTATGCAGAACTTGAAAGAAGTGGCATAAAGGTGGCTTCACTGAGCTATCGATCTCTAGATCTACTGACTCAGATCCGCGTCTGGCCAATTCATCGGCAGATTCATTGCCAGATATGTTGCAGTGCCCAGGGACCCAACAGAGCTTGACAGCTGACTTAAACTTTTCCAGGGCATTCTTGCACTCCAGAACAGTCATAGACTTGATTGTGAAAGAATTTAGAGCTTTTAGGGCCGCTTGACTATCGACATATATAGTCACCGGTCCATCCAGTTCGTTATTTCTATTATTCAACAGTTCTATGGCCATTCTGACAGCAAAAATTTCTGCCTGAAAAACGCTGCAATCGCTGTTTAGCCTGAAGGATCTTCGGATACTTAGGCTTTCACAGTAGACTCCAGCACCCGTTCCACTTTCCATCTTTGAACCATCAGTATAGACCGCTATACCGTCGAAAGGTGGAGTGCCACGGGACCAGATATCCCTGTTTGGTATACGGATGTCAAGTAGATCAAAGCTGAGCCTAGGGAGTATATAGTCACTAGCTATAGCCTGATTACTTACGTTTTCCACATACTTAAGAATGACAGAGTGCCCGAAGGGTTGACTCCGCCATTGTCCCAATTCGTTGAGTCGCAGGGCACACCTAGCAGCTAGTTCCTCTACAAATAAGCCTAGAGGCTTTAAGTTGAGTAGGGTGTCTAGAGCGGATTGTGGCGTGCTCCTGACCGCTCCTGTAATTAGTAGCGATGCGACTCTTTGTACTTTGTCAATATTCTTGCTGAAGGTGGTTTTCCGTAAGGAATGCCACCACACAAGTCCGCCATAGGTTAGGATTGGTCGGACGACTGACTCATATATCCATTGGATAATATGGGGTTTAAGCCCCCAACTCTTTCCTATGGAGTTCTTGCAGGAATAAAGTGCAATTAAGCCCTTTTTCGCTCGCTCCTCGATATTCCTTTTCCAGCTTAACTTCTGGTCTAGAATGGTACCGAGATATTTTGCTTCCGAAGAAAGGCTTAGAGTTACACCATCCAGCATTGGGAGAGAGAGGACGGGTATTTTCCGCCTCCTTGTAAAAAGTACGAGCTCAGTTTTAGATGGGTTCACGCCTAAACCATTGCAGCGCGCCCATCTGGAGAGTTTAACCAGAGCTCCCTGCATAAGATCTGTAATAGTTTGCGGAAATCTCCCAGCAATCAGCAGGACCACATCGTCGGCGTAAGCCACGACCTTTGTTCCGCTGTGTTCCAGATCAAGTAGAATGTTATTTATCACCAGAAGCCAAAGCAGTGGTGACAAAACGCCTCCTTGTGGAGTACCCCTAGTGACCGTTTTCCTAACAGAACACTCCCCGATGCTAGAGTTGATGATTCTGCTGCTGAGCATAACATCAATCCAGTCGACGAGAAGTGGTGGCACACTAAGTCTTTCGAGAGAACTGTGAATTGCCTCTAATGTAACATTATTGAAGGCCCCCTCGATATCGAGGAAGGCCGCCAACGTGAAACATGAGCTGTTCAGGTTCTTCTCTATATAACCCACGACGTCGTGCTGCGCTGACTCAACAGATTTGCCTTTCATATATGCGTGCTGAGCAGTGCTTAAAGAGGTCAGGGGTATTAGAGATCTGATCTCTATGTCTATTAATCTCTCTAGCGTTTTCAATAGAAACGACGAGAGACTAATAGGCCTGTAGTCTTTTGGAAGAACATGACTTGGCTTCCCAGCTTTGGGAATGTAAGTGACTGTAACTTCCCTCCACAGTAGTGGGATGTGAGAAAGACGCAAACAAGCCTTAAATATCACCTCCAGGACTGGTATTATCTCCGCCGACGCATGCTGTAGCATGGCGGGGATAATGCCATCTGGACCCGGTGACTTAAAAGGTTTGAATGAGTTAATGGCCCACAAAATCTTGGGGGTGTTAACAATACTATTAGTCAGATTCACATCTTCCGTCCCACTATGCTGACTAGACCGTGTTGCCAATCGGTCAAATACCGCATCAGAGCAGTTTGGAAAGTGAGTACTGGCTAATAGATTGAGAGTCTCTAAACCTGAGTCAGTCCAGCTACCATCAGCCCGCTTTATACTTCCAATGGATTTTGGGTCCTTTGAAAGTACTCTACGGAATCTGGAGGCTGCGTTGACATCATCTATGGACTCGGTGAAACACACCCAAGACCGTCTCTTGGCCTTCTTGATCTCACTGTTGTACTTATTGAAGGCTAGTTTATAAGCTTCCCAGTCCGTACCCAGTTTGGTCTTGTTGGCCTTATTGTATAATCGTCTGCTAGTCTTCCTGAGCTGAGCTAGGTCTTTCGACCACCAGACAGGCTGGTGCCTTTTACCCGGGAAGGTTAGCGGACAGGCTCTTTCATAGCTGCCGATCAGGATCTTTGTTAACAACTTGACGGAGTCGTCCACATCCGATGCCGAGGCCACTGGAAAATCACCAGTGGACTTAAGCATTCGTGCGGTATGCTCCGCAAATTGATTCCATCGAGCCCTTCTCGGGTTCCTATACGGTTTTTGATTCAATCCCTCTACCGAAATTTGGAATGTTATTTTCCGGTGATCCGAGAAGGAACACTCAGTCGAAACTTTCCAGTTCAGTATAAGTGATTCATCCATGTTAGTGAGAGTGAGATCTATGACCTCCTCTCTATTCTTAATACAAAAAGTCGCCTCCTTTCCCCGGTTACAGATTTTGAGATTATGAGATAAGATAAAATCAAAAATGTACTCACCTCTGGCATTGGTGTTACTACTGCCCCATTGAGAGTGGTGAGCGTTTGCATCACATCCAATGATGAGTCCGCCTTTTCCACCCAGTACTGAGACCAGCTCCTCTACCACTTGGCCTGGTGGGTCGGGGTGCTCGAAGGGAAGGTACAGGGAGACGAGGAATAGTGTTTTGCCCGTCCCAGTCTCCAGTCTGACCGCCGTGGCGTCTCCTCCGCTGAAATTGTTAAGGAAGATTAAGTTTAAGTTCTTCTTTGCGACGATACACGTTCTAACCTTTTCCCCATTGGAGGTGGCATAGGTGATGTACCGCTCACTCCCTAGCCCAGTTACCTTATTCTTAAAAATGTAAGGTTCCTGGACCAGGGCTATGTCAACTTCATGCTTGGAGAGGGATAGGAGAAGCTCAGCCCCAGCTGCCTTGCAGTGATGCAGGTTAATCTGCACAATGCTAAGCAGCTGTGGCTTCGTTTCTCCTACTGCGACGACGGCGTTAGACGGAACCGAATCCATCCTGTGCCGAAGTGCAACTTCCCTCCACGAGCCTGAAGGTATTCCTGGCCAGCAGTGTCAACAGAGACCTTTATGACCAGGCCCCCTCCCTCCGTACTTGAGCCAACTAAGCGCCAGCCGTCCGTGCAGAGATTGGGATTCTGCTTCCCCAATATTATCAGCACGCGTGCCGGGTCCACAGAGGGCGGCGGCACCCATGCTGTTAAAATCCTCCTGCAGGGGATATCCTTCAGGGATACAGCAGCAAGTGCGCTTCCATCCCAAAGTTCCTGAAGGCCAGCTACTGCGGTCACGAGGAAGTTCTTTGACTCCTCATTTTCGCAGCAGATGACCTTCACTCCCTTGTAGACGGTTGCACTGCCAAACTGTAGCTTGGAAGGATCCTCCCCCAGGAAAACCTGTTCCCTCAGACGGTCCTCAATGAGAAGCCACCGACTTTCACATGGACCCATGCATGCAATGTTTCGCCACCGAAGCTGGAACCAATTATGACAAACAAATACCAATTTTCGAACAAATCCCTGAAAAAATGTGGCAAAAATCATCAAATTACCGAATATCGGGAGGTACCGTTATATGGGGGCTATACCAAAACGTGGACCTATAATTACAATGTTTCGCCACCGGAGCTGGAAACCATTATGACCCACAAATACCAATTTTTAGACAAATCCGTGAAAAAATGTGGTAAAAAATACTAAAATACTAAATATTGGGAGGTACCTTTATATGGGGGCTATACCACAACGTGGACCTATACATGCAATGTTTTGCCACACGCTCAGGGACCCGCTATGACCTACAAATACCAATTTTAAGACAAATCCGTGAAAAAATGTGGAATAAATCATCAAAATACCGAATATCGGGAGGTACCGTTATATGGGGACTATACCAGAACGTGGACCGATATCATTTTCAATACCAACCATCCTAGACACAATGCAAATAGCTCTGCTAAATTTTGGAGCTCTACGTCAAATAATGTGGGCTGTATCGTGATTTCAACAGACAGACAGACAGACGGACATCGTTAAATCGACTTAGAATTTTATGCTGATTATGAATATATATACTTTATGGGGTCTAAAACGAATATTTAGGGATGTTACAAACGGAATGACAAAGTTAATATACCCTCCTTTCCAAGGTGGAGGGTGGAGGGTATAAAAATGTCACAAAATACTACAAAATCTATATTAACATCATTAATGATACCTTTTTATGCGATTTTTTAGATTTTATTCCTTTATGTCAAGAGGGCATTCTGAATTGACAAAATTTGTCAAAATCGGTCCAGCCAATCTTGAGATATAAGCATTCTAACTAACATCCCCTTCCTTTGTATATACACATTGTATATATTTCGCTATATATAACCGATATATTTACTGTCGGTCAAAATTGACCTGTTCGTCTATTTATGATTTCGACGGGATTAAAAATATTCGCGGTTTATTGTACTTTTATTTAACACAATTGTTGTGGCCTATATCACCCACAAAATATTACCCGATGACCATCAAAATTGGAAGGCTTCTGCCCAGCCCTAAGCTCTAGCCCCATGCTAAATATCGCTTTGATTGGTCTATAATTGCGACCTGTAGAGCAACTGCAAAATCATGAAATTTTTCAGTTTTTGGTACATTTCAACCACTAAATATTATGCGATCATCTCCAAAAGAAATAGGGTTCTACTCTGACCCTAGTCCCACCTCCATTCTAAATTTCGTGAAGATCGGGCCATAATTGCAGTAGAGTGATTACAAATTAACATGAACAGACGGACATAAATAGCTAGATCGACTCAGCTCGGCGAGATGGAATGATCCATATATACTTTCCTATGAGGGAAACGAATATTTCGTGGTGTTACATAATTTTTGGCCCAATCAAACTTATAATACCCACAACACATAGTGTTGTAGGGTATAAAAAGAAGTAAACGCATTGGCTCACTGGAAAGAAAATGAAGGTAAAAGTATGAGAAAATGGCTAAACGAATAATAAAGGATCATAAAAGTTTAGCCAGCCTTAAATAAATCGAACTTTTGATAATATAAGGAGCCTTGTCCTGAAATGGACAAAAAATGTAATATACCTATTTGATAACATGAAGCATCTGCAAAGTTCGTGTTCGATCGACTCTATTTTAACATTTGTCTAAAAAATTTCAGTAGTTTTTATAGCATTTTCAAAAAAAAAAAAAAAAATCAAGAGTCTTTAGAATATCTGTTTTTTATTACATTATTTCAGCGTTCGAAAATAAACAGTACACAAAGATAGCGTACTGAACCGGTACAGTATCAGCAAAAAAAATTTAGGGGTAGTGTTCCGGTACGCTACCACTAAAAAATATTTTAGTGATACTGTACAGGAACACAACGATAATCGTACTGTACCGCAGTCGGAGCACTTAAAAATCGTAGTGTTCCGTAATCGGGGCACTAAAAAAATCGTAGTGTACCACATGCACCACATTAAAAAAATGTACTGGCATCAATATGCTTTTTTATGATTTGGGAAAATAATATTAAATGTTTGATTTTTTAGTATAATAGCATTGGTCCATTTCAACCACTAAATATTATGCGATCATCTCCAAAAGAAATAGGGTTCTACTCTGACCCTAGTCCCACCTCCATTCTAAATTTCATGAAGATCGGGCCATAATTGCGACCTGTAGAGTGATTACAAATTAACATGAACAGACGGACATACATAGCTAGATCGACTCAGCTCGGCGAGATGGAAAGATCCATATATACTTTCCTATGAGGGAAACGAATATTTCGTGGTGTTACATAATTTTTGGCCCAATCAAACTTATAATACCCACAACACATAGTGTTGTAGGGTATAAAAAGAAGTAAACGCATTGGCTCACTGGAAAGAAAATTAAGGTAAAAGTATGAGAAAATGGCTAAACGAATAATAAAGGATCATAAAAGTTTAGCCAGCCTTAAATCAATCGAACTTTTGATAATATAAGGAGCCTTGTCCTGAAATGGACAAAAAATGTAATATACCTATTTGATAACATGAAGCATCTGCAAAGTTCGTGTTCGATCGACTCTATTTTAACATTTGTCTAAAAAATATTCAGTAGTTTTTATAGCATTTTCAAAAAAAAAAAAAAAAATCAAGAGTCTTTAGAATATCCGTTTTTTATTACATTATTTCAGCGTTCGAAAATAAACAGTACACAAAGATAGCGTACTGAACCGGTACAGTATCAGCAAAAAAAATTTAGGGGTAGTGTTCCGGTACGCTACCACTAAAAAATATTTTAGTGATACTGTACAGGAACACAACGATAATCGTACTGTACCGCAGTCGGAGCACTTAAAAATTGTAGTGTTCCGTAATCGGGGCACTAAAAAATCGTAGTGTACCACATGCACCACATTAAAAAAAATGTACTGGCATCAATATGCTTTTTTATGATTTGGGAAAATAATATTAAATGTTTGATTTTTTGATATAATAGCATTGATAATGAATAAAATGGTTGTAATAAAAGAAAATAAAGATTGTAAATTTAAAATTTACATTTTCATATATTTACATGCATTATTAAAAGAAATAACCCGTAATCTTGCATTCATTCGTAAAATTGTTGTTTTTAAATGAATGTATCTTTTTACTGGTTAATATAACGCAATAGACCGAATTTCAGGCGTATCCATAAGGACTTGTGGCAACCACTAAAATACTCTTTTTCGCGGAAAATTTAAATTTTCATTTTAATTGTTAAATACAAGTTCTTATAATTCGATCCTTTTTATCCTTTCTACCTAATCTCATATTTTTCTACTTTCTTCAATTTCACAACCAATCCAAACTTACTTGATTGTATTATTTAAGTTAATCAAATTTCACATATAGCTATAGCTCACATATATATGTTTTATCCGATTTGGTGTTTAAGTCCTTCACATATATATATCCTTAATCCGATTTCAAGTTTATTGTGCGGAACGTACGTTTCCATTTTGTGCAACTCGGCTCCGATATATATATATAATATAATCTCCTGAAGGTTAGTTGAGGTTAAATCCTGCGCGGTTGTATTAACAACCACTCCATTCGGAGACCTATTGTGCTTATGCAGTACTTGGAAGAAGTGACATAAGAATGGCTTCACTGAGCTCTCAATCTCTAGATCTACTGACTCAGATCCGCCTCTGGCCAATTCATCGGCCGATTCATTGCCAGATATGTTACAGTGTTCACACTGAAAGAAAAAGCTTCATAAAATAAATGAATTTCTACGTTCCGTCAATGACATTTGTCATTGATTTTGAACCAATGTAGAGGTTCATTGAATGAATGAAAAAGGTTCATTGAGTTTCATCAACGTAAAATTAACGAAATTGTTCATTAATAAAATGATATTCTTCATTTGATTATTATTTCACAGATTTGTCCAAAAATTGGTACTTGTAGTTCGTAATTTTAGCTCCTGTGTCGGAACATTGTTGATATGGATCCATGTCTTCGTATCGCCACATTTTTCAATGGAATTGCTTCAAATTTCGTACTACATCATATGACAAAAAAGTACTTTTACAGGTCGAGATCTTCTTATCCCCCATATAAGGGTTTTCATTTAAGTTGTATATTTCGAAGGATTTTTAAAATTTTTCGATATCCTTCAAAATTGTTGAGGGTATTAAAATTTCAGTGCGGCCGAACTTTGCTGTTTTTACTTTTTAATACCTACAGCAGGGTATTTTGTCGTTGCGCATTTGTTTGTAACAGGTAGAAATACGCGAATTAAACCCTTTATAACTTTCTTTATAAAATCACATTCTGATAAGGTTTATGAATCTCAGTAAGTCTGACCGTCTCCCCACGTATTTTTATGAACAAAATGCAGGTCGCCTTTATTGCCGCCTGTTATTGAGATGACATTTTCCATGCTTCATTTGTTTGGCCTAGAACGAACTCCATATCGTAACGTTTCATTCATATCATGAAACTGCTTTATTAAATTG